TATAATTTGAAATTGATTTGAAAATCTTGCATGCATGGAAATTTGGTTTTAGCACAGCAGCGTTGTGTCGGCAAGCTCAATAATGTTGGCCTCTATGTATGGAGGGTTATAGTTGATCAAGTGAAACGGCGCTACGACGTAACACCTGAAAAGTTAGTGTATTGTTCAACCACCCGACCATATTCAAATTAATACGTTAAATTTATGCATTTTAACGCTTCTGAATATGTCTAGAAATATTATGTGTGTATGTCATGTGAAAGTCTTTATGTATTCTGTCGTGGGTGGTCCAGGGAGTCTGTTGGCATGTTTTGAAAAATCTAAATTTTTTTTGTGGCATCGCGATGATAGGGCTGGCAGCACCCCGACACTAAACTCTCTGAAATTTTGGAAAATAATTTAGTGCGGGGATGCTGCGACGCTGTGGGCTCCAAGAGGGAGCGTCGTGGCGGGTGATGTTGACTGCCAGACACTCAGCCTGAATTCTTTATTTAAATATCAATTTCCACTAAAATGCCTAATTCATTTCTCGTAAGGGGCTACTAGCTAGCTAGTGAGAGAGGAAGAGATCTAGAGAGAGAAAGTCATATTTAGGCTGCTTTAAGTCATTTTAAGCTAACCGACCAATTCTGAAAGTTTCTTAATTAAATCGAGGTAAGTGATATTTTACCCATCTTGATTTTTAAAAATACCAAAATTTTTAGAATTTTCTAATTTAATTTATTATTTTATTAGTGAAAAATGGTCATAACTTATTATCTGTAAATTTTTTACTGTGTGAATTTCTATATGTTATAGGGATAGAGATTTTGAACATTTAGGTATCTTTGTTTTTAAAATTTTACAGTTTAAAATTTTAAGAATTACTCTATTTTAATTGAATAGTAAATATTCATTACCCTGAAAAATAATGTTAATTGTAGTGAACATTCTACACAATCTTTGATAAATTAATTATATTTTGAATCACTAAATTTGTGTACATAAGTACAATTAGATGCCTACTATATATTATAGCATTTTGTGAAATCTTAGAATGAGTTTATGTATATTTTAATTATTAGAATACAATGAATTACAGCTTAATTGGTTGGAATGTGTGATCTTGAGGAAATTTGGTGTGGGTGGATTAAGAAGTTATTCTATGGTGCCTACAGGAATGTTTTGGTGCAAATATGTATATTATTTGGTGATATATGCATATTTTTTTATGATGCTAAGAACTGTAGGAGAATTAATTACTTTCTTTTATGATATTCAAAGTGCTTGTTTATTTACTTTTCTATGTGTACAGTGTTATATAATATTTCTAATAATTATAAGTACAATTTTGTTCATTGTATTGATTCAATATAAATATTTAAAACTCGGCTACATATTTAATAAATGAATTATTTGAAAATTTAGATCGATAAATATGGTCTGTTGAGCTGTGTTAGCTTACAGTTATTTTGCCTTCAATTTTCAGGGTCTAAGAGAGAAAAATAACTAATTGTGTTATTATTATGGTCTTTGCATAAAATATTTATAGATACTATCTATATGACATTAGGTGTGAGATCTTTATTGATCATTAAATTTGAAGTATATATTTACTCAAAATGGCTTAAATATGAGGCAAAGAAGAGATGACTTGAGTTGATTAAAGTCTATGATCTAAATATTCAATATCATCTTGATAAGACTAATATTATAACAAATGCTTTTAGAAGGACGCCTTCTAGATTATCATGTACTCAGCTTAGTTCTGATGAATATCTAATTCAGGATATGAAACAACTTTAGTTGGAGGTGATTTCGCCTGTTAATCTAAATGTTTATATTATGGCTTGGATGATAATTCAACCATCTTTGTAAGGAAGGATTCATGATGCCTAGAAGTTAGATGCATAGTATTTAAAGTTTATTGATCAAATAAAACATGGTAAGAAATTTGAATTACAAGTATCTGATTCTTGTATATCTTATGTAAGAATATATTATGGCTGAATTGTAGAGATTTGAGATTAGTTATGCAGCAGTGCAGCACGAGGCATATTATTCGGGTTACACTATTCTCCTAGGAAGCAAGACAATGTATAATGATTTGAAAGGTATATTTTGATGGCTCGGATTGAAGAAGGATACAACAACTTTTATTTTCAAATGTGAAACCTAATAATTAGTGAAAGCAGAACATCATTGCATCGATAAGTTTTCTTCAGTTGTTGCACTTTAACTATAATATTGTTTCTCTCAGTAAAACTATTTTAATTAGAAAACTCTTTCAACTACTCATGCTCTTTTAGTTAAACTTGGATCTAGACTTATCAATGTCATGCTCTTTTAGTTAAATTTGCATCCAAACTTAGTAATGATCTTTTTGTGAAGTATATGCATAAGCTGTTTATGCCCTTTTAACTTGGCCCATTTTCAGTATAATCATATGATGTACTTTTGATTATACTTTTATAACCCCTTAATCATACTCTTTTGATCAGAGATATTTTAAATTTGATCATATTATTTTGACCAAATTCATCACAAGTGCAGTTATGCTTTTTTTACTATATTATCATCCCTTAGTTGAATTAGCTTTTTTAATTGGGCTATATTTAGTCCAGTCATGCTCTTTCGACTATACTAAATCCCCTTATTTTAGACATGTTTTTTTCTTTAACTAAAGAAATCTTATATTTGGTCATTCTCTCTTAACCAATCAATCTCCAAGATTTGATCATACTCTTTTGACCAAGTCTAGCACTCATGCATTTACGCTCTTTTAACTTTATGTTGATCTTAAATTAGTTATGCTCTTACTTTTCAATGAGATCATGCTCTTTTAAACTTATTACCTATTTGGCTTAATAGCTTTTTTTATAAGAATCCCTTTAAATCTTAAACGTAACATATTCTAATAAGTTGAGTTATTACTTGATCATGCTCTTTTGATTAAGTTAACATATTGCTCAATCGCACTTTGTGATTAAACCCTTCTGGTTTTAGGCATACACCTCTTTTTGAAATTACCTTGTACTTTGAATATTAGAAGTTCTTTTAAAATTTCTATAATATTTATATCTTTCAATTGTTTATATCACTCATGAATACTTAGATCTTGAGCTTGATGGTTAATATTTACAACAATCTCTCCTCATATTAATTGTATTTATATTTGTATGAGGTTGGTCAACACTTGACTAGGTAGTTTGAATCTATTTAATTTCTAGACTTAGTATGTGGTCATGATAATTTGACTATCATTAGTAGGTGATGGTTCACTTGATAATAATAATTATTTTATCATAATCAAATCAAATTCAACTATTCAAGAATACAAGGAACATAAAATATATAATTTAATTAATTTTCAAAATTAACCTAATTTTTCTAGTTTATGTATATAGCCAAAACTTTTAAAATCTTTTAGTTTTTATTGTAAATCTTGTTCTACTCTGTTAAAATAGACTTTAAAATTCAACTTTAAATATTAAAATATTATGGTGATAGATCTTATCTTGATTGAATTCCTTGAGAAAATTTAGTATATTAACTCGTCACAGATATATGAGTTGATCGATTCTTATTGTTCTAAGATCTTTTACACACAGTTAAGTGCTATGATAATAGGTTTTAACGCTTTAACCGCTTAGCATATAGGGGATATAGCTAGATCAATATTTTGTTGTCGAATATTACAACATACAATTTATTTGATTGCTTTTGCTCACTTGGATATTCTTGCTTGACACTTATGTGTTTGGATACTTTCTTATACAATGATAAAGATATTTTTTCTTGTAGGTGCTTGATGTATGGCTAGTGATGTATGTTATATTTAGATTTCTTTAAAGAGGGTTGTGTGTTAAAAATATTGAAATTATAGCTTAAAAGGTACTTTCCAAATAATGATCAATCATGTGATGATTTTATTTGGTTCTAGATCTTTTACATTTTTTATCATGTTGCAATGCCTCTATTTAGTTCTAGCATTTTATTTGGTTTAGGAAAATTTATATACATAATAAAATATAAGCAAAAAAGTTTTGAACAAGTATAGATCCCAATCTAGAATTACCTATCCTAACCAATGATTATATCTTATTGTCTAATTTTATTTTTATATAAAATTAGGAATTGTTAAAGGCTTCTTAGGATGTTTTTGAGCTTTCCGAAGAGCTTCGGATTTTTCTAAAATTATTTGATGCATTAAATAATTATAAAAATATTAATTTTTAAAAATAAAAATGTTAATTTTAAAAATAAAAATTGGAAAATAATTGCATGAAATTATTCTTCCTAAATACTAAATGACTTAATGTATTTAAGGTTAAAATTTCATAAGATTTAATCTACTTGAGACTTGAGAGCTCACAATAAAAATCCTAAAAAATTTCTTTAAAAATCCTGTTGAACAACAAACACACTATTGAACTTTAGTTGTTCAACCCAATCAGAGCCATTCATTTCTAAATAAACGATAATTATTCATTATCCCCACCCCACGCACGTGTATTCAAACCCATGCATCAAGAGGGTATTTCTCCCTCTATAGTACGTCAAATTGAATGATTTCTTAGAATAGATCGATATAAACCTCCCATAATTTTCCTTTTTTTTAGATAAAAATTCAAAATATTTTCAACATCTTCAGTGGCTCTTTATCATTTTTTTAATATTTTTTCGGGTAATAAAAGCATTCTTTTAATGAAAATAAGAAAATTTATTGTGCATGCAAGTCCTCAAATCATGAAGAGATTATTATGTGCGGACGTCGAATGCAGCTTTACATCCGTATATCAATCATGATGAGCCACATCAGCGATACTGAACTACGGTACTGTGCAGTACCGAGCCACAGGTTTAGGAATCATGACGGGATTCAACTTCCACACAGAATAATTTTTCCAAATCTTGGTATAATTAAAAAGTTTTGATACAATTTGCTTGCAATTAACAATAAGAGGAATTGGGATTTCTACTTGAGCTTATTATCTTCCTTATGTTTAGGGTTTTTCAACTTAAAGCTTTTGCAGCAGGACCTGAAGTCCTCGTTGTGGTCGTATAGTAATGCGATAAATCGGCGAGTGGATGTAAGATGGAGAAAGCCTCAACTTATAGCGCTGCAGAATCATGGCGAGAGCCACCTTGGCCTCAACCATGGCCAGACCTTGCCCAATGCAGAACCTCGGTCCCGCTCCGAATGGGAAGAAAGCTGTGCCACTGCCACCGCCGGCAGCTTTCCCCGCCATGGCCGCCGCCACGCCATTGGCAAACCTCTCTGGCTTGAAGAGATGCACGTCATCACCCCATATCTTACGATCCTGGTGGATGATGGTTGGGGAGATGTGTATCCCCATGCCTTTAGGAACGACAAGTTTGTTTCCTAATATGGAATTTCTGCTAACTGTTCTCATGATGTTGAGAACTGGCGGGTAGAGCCTCATGGATTCGTTCATGATCATCGTCATCTGCAACAAAACGAACAACATGATGAAATTCATATGGTAGACGTAAGAAAGTTATTACTCTGTTTTTTGGAAGGAAAAGGAGTACAGTAATTTCCATAACAGTATGAAAGTCAAGTCGAGTTGAGTGTTAGCACCATTGAGTTTGGCTCGTCTGTTGGAAAGAGAGCTCGAACTCGAGCTCAAAAGATGAGCTCGTCCCATTGTAAACGAGCTGGAGCCGGCTGCCGCTCGATTTCTCGCGCATTTCTCATTTCTCTGGTCCATTTTTTTCATTTTGCCGCACGTGTTCGTCCCGTATTTTGAAAAGTAAAAAGAATAGGATTTTTTTTTTAAACATGACATGGGACAGCAATTTTTTTTGGGAAAAACAAATAGTATTTTTTTATTATTATTATTTGAAAACTTCATAATTTAATTAATTAAATCATTTCGAGCTGGCCAGCTCGAATAAACGAGCTCGAGTTCAAGCTCGAGCTTGTGGCTTGATAAGCTCGACTCGCGAGCTATTTATCGAGTCCAGCTCGACTCTGCTCACGAGCCGGCTCGGCTCACTTACACTTCTAATCTAGGACTTCAAATATGAAATTTTAATAAAAAAATGCATTAATTATAAATAAATAAAGAAATTGAGAACCAACTGAAGCCTAAGATGAGAGATTTAGTTCCTCACCGTCTTTAACTTGGAAATACTTGCAGTGTCTTCTGAGGTTGGGCTTCGACCACCGAATATTTCCATGACCTCCAGTCTTGCTCTTTCTTGCCAATCCTCATTACTGGCAAGAAGAAGAGAGGTCCATGATAACATAGAAGCTGTGGTCTCTTGTCCTCCAAAATAGAAAGTCTTGCATTCATCAATAACATCCTCCATAGTGATTTTTCCTTCCTTATCAATCTCATGATGTGCGCTCATTAGTAGTCCAAGAAGATCATCGCCATAACCATCAATTTCTCCCTTCTCCTTCCTCTCTTCCCTTTTCTTCACAATTTTAAAAATGGATTCCCTAATGTCTTCCTCAATTCTGCTTGATTCAATGTCATCTCGATTTTGCATAAATTTTCTGTAACTCAAAGCAAAAAACAATGAGTTTTATGTTTTTCAAGGTCAAAACTATGATTTTTCCTTTATTTTATTCACTTACCTGAGAAAAGGAAGCTGGACTGTTTGAGAATTTTTTGCAACAATTGCAGCCAGTTGGTCAATTTTGGTGAATATGATCTTCCCTTCACTGTAGCTGGAGCCAAATGCGGACTTTGAAATGACTTCTGATGTCAGAATACTAAATTCTTTGAACAAATCCACCTCCTTGCCATCCAGTTCATCCCATTTTGTCAGAATAGACTCCACTGCAGCAACAATCCCAGTTATCATCCCCTGAAACAGTTATTCAGATTAATTTCGGCATGTTTTCCCGTATTTACTTTCAGAAAGGACTCTCTACATATACACAAAAAACCAATCATAAATACAGCCCAGCTTCTGATGTTTGATTCTTTCTTGTAATATTATTTTATTATTGATATATCATAAAAAAAAACTATCTTAATCGGGCACAAATTCCGAGGCAAAATCAAGGGTGAAATTTTAAAAATTAAATTCGGGATCATCTAAACTCCGATTTCAGCAAACTTATAGTCGAACTGAATGTCTCTAAAATACAAACTTAATGACACCAAATTCGGCCCAATCTGAGCTCAAATAAGTCCAAATCAAAGACTCAAAGTACATTTAGAAGGTTCAAATCATAATTTTGATTAACAAATAATTTTCAAACGTGACATGCTTATAATCAAATCCAGTAGCTTGACAAGACGGACCCAACAAGCCCAAGATCGCCAAATTCTAATAACATTAAGAAATTCAAATGCCCAATTAACGGTCGACAATCAGGGGATTCAATATTGGACGTCCATTCAAACCACGGCTAATTTATCATTGGTCTTCCTCCTATTTATTGGTCAAATCACTCTCAAAAAACTATAAATAAATTCCTCATTTTTCATATAGTGGAGACCCAACCAAGAAACAAGAAGAGAGGAAGAGAATAAAAAAGAGAAACTTGAGAATTGGTTTAGATATCTAAATAGCGTTTCCTCCTATCCAGGCCTTCCAAGAGAGTTTGAAAGTTTAACGGTCAACAAATTCGAATCTTACCTTAAGGCAATCTGCACGAAAGGCCTGAGCAGTCAACTTTCTCTGCCTTGCCCATTTCTCGCCTTTGGCCATCGCCACACCATCTCCTAGTAACTTCTTGAAGAACTTCGGCGTTTCACCTTTTGGGTAAACTCCATTCTTATCATTCAGTATCTCCTTAACTAGCTCGGCTTCTCCGATCACCAGCGTCGGCCTCAGCCCGTGCCATGTTAGAACATTCCTCCCTATTTTAATAAATTAACAGTAACGTTGCAGATGATATTTATGAACTGATTATGCCCTTTTTATAGACAACATGATGATACTTACCATATTGTTTGATCCAAGAATGTATGTGAGGTTGAACTTTGGGTAAGATGTCATGTGAAAGCTCCACGGATTTAGCCATGGAGTCCACCAACAACTTGGAAGCTTCTGCTGTGCTTCCATGGAAGAACTTGTAAGCAGGGCCCCTGATTCCTTGAGCCTCCATCATTTTTGTTATTCTGATAGGATCCCACCATGATTTCTTGAGAAATCCAAGGACTTTTACTGTTAAATAGGAGAGTATGAGAAGGCTTAGAAGAGGAAAGAAAGAGAAGCTCCTCTGTTCTTCCATGGATCAGTAAATAAGCTTGTAGAGTTGATGATATGATATTTCTTCATCTCTGACGGGTGTTATATATGCATTAAGTTGTATGGATAGAAAAGAAAAGCATCTTGATTTTAACGAATCTATTTTTTTCTCTCCCTTGCCTCTGTTATGTTTGCGGAGAAATCAATGTACTTATCTAAGTTTTTCACGAGAATTTTATATGAAACTAATATAAAAGGCTCACAAAAATTGTCCTTATTGTGTGTGTCTATATTTTATTGATTTCATTATTAATGTACTTTTCATAGATATGATCTTCATTCTTGAGCCGAAGCTCAAGATCTATAAGTTGGCTTGATAGTATTTTTTAAGAGATTTTTACTCTTTGGGTTTAATTTAGTAGGATAAAGTAATTTTATTACTATATTTTAATAATGAGATGATTTTAAATTTAATTTAATTTAATGTAAATTAAATTATAATTTGTAGAGATTTTTCTAAATTGTTTTATTCGAACTTAAAATATTTAAAATGAGATAAATCAGTAGAATAATTAAATTTAAGATTAGTTTAAATATTTTAATAATTAGTAGAAAATTTTAATTTCAAATTAATTTTCAATATAAACGTAGGAAAATAGTAAGTAATAAATGAATATAGTGTATGTGTGTGGGGGTATATATTAAGCAATATTCAAACCTCATTCTAACCACATAAGAATAATATTCAAATCTTGTTCTAATAATGTTTGAATATGATTTGAACATATATACCATAACAAAACAAACTATAACACAATAAATTATAATCACAACAATTATAACACATTTGATTATAACTATGACACTGCAAAGTGTAATCACAATAATCATAACACAGCATACTATAACTTTGATAGAGTATAGTGTAATATAACGACAACATATCACAACAGAGACTATAAATTTGATATAATAGAATATAATCATAATAGCTATAACACCTTATAATTGAATTTCCCCTCTTATATCTTAGGTGAGAATCTTAACCACTTAGCATTAATGAAGTCATTCTCTTCTTAATCAACTTTCTTTATCCAAGTATTGTACTCGGATCCGCCCCTGCAATAAATATCATATCTAATATGCTTTTATGGTTTAATTTTTAGTATGCAAATGATGTTCAAAACTCTTATTATAAGTTCATACTTTGCTCATTTTTAAACTTCGAGTTTTTTCATTCTTATTATAAGTTCATAATTTTTCATTCAAAATAGAATTTATTTATTATTTTGATTTTCTTAGGTAAGTCTTTCTCTAATTAATGTTAATCAATAATAATGTGGAGATATTTATGATTTTGATAAAGATTTTAAAGCTAGTCTTCTAAAAGTATATGCATATTTTGGCATATTACACATTTTTTTTCAAATATTACAAAATAAAGTTCACATCACTCCCCATACATTTAATAATCTCTGAAATTAATTATTTTCTTAATGTTTGATGGTTGTCAAGTGGAGAGAGTGTGAGAAACGGAGAGGATTAATTATTTTCTTAGCGTTTGTCATGCAAGGAGATAGAGAGAGATTACAATGCATCAATTTATGATTAAGATTTCATTTGGAATAGCTTTTTTACTACTTTTTTAAATGACTTTTTAGTTCACAAATTCCTTAAATTAGTAAAAAAGCTGCGGTCTAAAGCTGTCCCAAACAAAGCCTGAGCTTTATTTGGGATGATTTTTTTTTTTTTTAAGTAACTTTTTAGTATATAAATTAAAAATTTTATACTAAAAAAATATTTTAAGAATCAATAAAAAAACATCACCTCCACCTCTCCATTGTCACCATTGTTGTGTTGCGAGGCAGACAATTTCTTTGTCGAACTTCTTCAAAAATAAGGTTATTACAAACAAACCACTGAAATTGCTTTTATTGACATCGTACAAAAAACCCTTTTTATTTTTTTTTTTAATTCTATCAGTGATTAAAATTTAACAAGTTGTTCCCATTTTAAACGCTACTAAAAAAATCTTATAATATATAATTTTTAAGTTGGAGGAAATTTAAATTCATTGATTAAGTTAGATGCTAATTTAAACTTTCAATCTCCACTTCAAATTAAAATATAAAATTGCATTTTGGAATGAAGCACTAAGTTGATAGCAATTTGTGGATGGCGATGTTCCATTATTTTCTGAATCATCTTCTTCAGATGTTTTTTGCATCTGACTTGGGCTTGGTTTGGAATGACTTTCTTACTGCAAAATTTTAAATTTTTATACGAGAATGCAGCTTTAAGAAGTTGTAAGAAAGCGTCCCAAACAAAGCCTTAGTTGTTCGAAGATGTTGGATTCAATATTATACGTGAAGAAAAAACAAAGAATTGTCGATTAAAGGATCTCTTTGCATGTTTGAGGATTCTAGAACGAGGCACTATCAAAAAATCTTAGGGGGACTGAATTGATAGTATGAGATCATATAACACTATCCCACAAGACCCTCTAGTTATAGGAGCGGACCATGTGCTACCAAAAATGCATTTGTTATGTTAGGATAATCACTCTTGTAGCAAGAGGTCAAGCCACTAGTTGTCCACTAGGTTAGAACTATTGGCAAGTTCTTATAAGATGGCGAATATCATTGGCGAGTTCTCTTTGTGAGAAGAATTATCTGCTAGGATAGTATCTTGGACAAACAGGTGTGATCTTCGAGTTGAGATAATTTGTTAGGCCAATAACTTTTATGCATTTGTTATTTGATAATGAGAAAATAAATACAAGTAAAAGAAAAGAATCAAAATGATACATTGACTATTTATAAAAGATCAAAATAATCATCAGCTATATTAAATGATTATTTTGACCCCTCAACTCCTTAAAGAGGAATCAAAATAGTCCCCCCTTGGATTATTTTTTTAAGACTTAAGAGACCAAAATGTTACTAAGCGAAGCATTCACTGAATTACACAATTTGGCATGTTGATTTGCAGAGTTTGGTGATCGAGCTCTTTAAGCTGGTTGTATTTGAGGAGAAATTTATATCTTTACCATAAAGAAACTCTTACAAAAACCTACATCATAAATGTTAAAACAATAAAAGGAAGATATGTAACACTTTGTATATTTGATGAATTTAATAACACGTCAGGTTCCATTGATAATCAGAAGTATGCAGAAGACATCCATATGGATGGCTTATCATAATTTATTAGCTCTAAGGGATTTTTATAATGGGATGCTTGACATTTGAAGATAACAATGTTTAAGCGCTCATTAGTAAAATATATCAAGTTGCTTTATTTTTTTATATGTTCAGTTTTTGTAATGTTTAGGTTATAGAGTGGTTATATTGATTTAGATTGATATAGTTTCAAAAACACTACTAAATTCAGCATGAATTTTAATAGAATTTTCAGACTTTCAAAACATTTAAAGATGTGTCAATCTATGAAGATAATACAAATCACACCTTCTAAATCATACAAATCACACCTTCTTGATGAAGAGAGAAGTGCAAGTTGGTATCAACTCTTCGGGAGAATTTGATGGTATCGGTATGGTTGGTCAATGAAATATGAGGTGTATATATCAATGTCGCTTTCCATGAGCTGAACATTGAAAAAAGGAAAGACCAATAAAATAGAAAATTTGGCTATTGGCGACTATGCTAGCCAACCCATTCATGAAGAAGTTCAAAATCTATTGGAGGTTAGATTCATTCAGAATACAAAACTCAGAATGGATCTCAAATATGATGATGTAATATAAATAAAAAGGGGTAGAATATTGAGGTCTATTGATATAGCAGGTCATCTAGATGATGATAATCAAGACAAAAAAGTCAGCTATAAGAGCTAATACCCAAGCCCAAGGAAAAGATAAAATAAAATTGGGAATAGCCTAACCAATGGCCCAATAAAGACTCGGTAGCTTTAAATATTTTAAATATAATTTTTTTTTATCTAGAGACTTATATAATCATCCACGATATGATTAGGTACACCGCTTACTCCGCCGCAATGGCTTCCCCAGCAAAATCCATCCATTACTCCTCCCATCACACGTTATTGTTATCATCATAACCGTTATATTACACGTACCTCTTAGCAAATGAATCTTAGTTCAAACTAATAATTAAACAAAGTTTGAATTCAAACCAATTTCATTCATGAGTCATGACGAAATCCAATTTCTACACCTGATAAAATTAATATTTTTAAACAATATAAGAGAAAAATAATCATAATAGAGAAAAAATATATATACATCAATATATATTTTGTTATTAGGAGTTCTAATGATAGTATCTTTTTCACACATGATGAAGTAAATTTTGGATCAAAATCCAATTTAAACTAGGAACCTAAAAGTACATATTTTAGTCATAGCTCTTGACACATAACTAAGAACATATAACAAGATTGATCTTTCAAATAAATGTAAATTGGACTAGTCTTGTCATTCCTACTAATATACTAATCTAAACTCCTCATCATTCCACCATAAACTCATGAACACCTCTATAAATATTAAACTAAAGATCAATAGCCATTGCTAGCCTTTAAGATCACCAGAAGGTGACCCACCATCATCATTTATGTTGATGATCTCTATTAAAAAGTAAATAATTGTAGAGGTGCCAACCTTTAAAGATAATATAAATGAAGTGTGAAGAGCGAGTTGGTCTCAACTATTAGGGAAAATGTGAAATTATTTGTATGGCCGGCCGACAATATAGTAGGTTTAGATATCAATGTTGATTGCCATAGGATAAACATTGAAAAAAAAAAAAAAAAGTGGGGCCATGCCAATAAAATAGAAGATTTAGCTAGTTACGACTACATTGGTCAATCCCATTTGTGAAGATGATCAAAAGCTTCTGGAGGTTAGATTCATTCAGGAGATACAGTACCCAAAATGGGTCTCAAATACGATGTTGGAACAAAAGACAAAGGGCAAATGGTAGATGAGTATTGACTTCATCAACTTAAACTTAGTCTATCCTAATGATAGCTATCCGTTGTTATGAATTGATGCTCAATTTTGATTTGCAATCGGCTACCCTATGAAGAGTTTTTTAGGCATCTTCTTTAGATAGAATTAAATCAAAATGCACCTGATTGACTGGAAGAAGACATTGTTCATCACAAGTGATAGAATGTAATGTTACAATACAATAGCCTTTAGTTTTAAAATATATAGATGTCGCATGCAAAAGGATGGTGGATTTATATTTTTCGAGATCATAAGGGGTACAATATCAAAGTCTAACCTAATGATCTCCTATTAAAAAGTAAAACTTTAGAACAACATATTGAAGATCTCAAACAAGTTTTTTACTCTTAAATGTACAAAACGATGCTAAACCCTTTGAAGTGCATCTTTGGAAGCAGAACAAAGAAATTTTTTGGTATTTTACTAACTCTTGAAGTTATTAAAATGAATCAAAAGAAATTAAAAGCAATTCTTGAAATGCCTTCACCTAGAAACCCAAAAGGCTTATAGCGACTTCAAAAGTTGACTTCAATTGTTGAAAGTTGAGGAGAGACTTCAATTGTTGAGAGGAGCGAGTTCGAAGAAGTGCTAATCACTTTTTCGTGAACGAAGATTGTGAACTCAACTTTCAACAATTGAAGTCGCTCCTCTCTTAGCCGCCTCTACTTTCCGTAGCTAGGGAAGGACTTCCTCTTTTATCTTAGAGTCAACGAGAATGTAATGAGCTTGGTCCTCATCTTAAAAAAAAAAAAAGAAGAAGAAGAAATGGTGGCTAATCTTTTATGCAAGCAAAATTCTGCACCAAGCCAAGTGTGACTTGGTTGGGTACTTGATGTTGGGTGCTATTTTGGCAATAACCATTATACTCTGAATCAATTCAAACAGGATTGGCTTTTTTGGCAGTAAAATAACCGATAAATAGGGCCCTCCAAGTGATCTAAAGATTTAGATTTTATTTGGAACAACTTTCATTATAAGAAAAACTTACATGTGAATGGATTTGCAATACTGAATAATATATAATCTTCAACAACAACAACGATTATTTATAATTTATTAATAAAATATCATCATCTTCCATTGAAATTTTCATTTACAACCATATTACATCAAACCAACATCAAAGCTTTATTCTTCATTCATTCATTTTAAAAAAAAAAAAAACAGCCAGATGAAGCATATTAAAAAAACAGAAATGATCAAGCCAAAAGCCAGAAATCTTTGTGTCTTCTTGTAGTGATCAAAAAACCACCTCCTCTTCTGCTCTTTCTTCGCACAGCTAAAGTCATGCACGAAGAGTTCTGCACGCAGTAGTCCACAACACTACCTGATGCCAATCTATTCCCACCAGCCCAAATCATAAGCAGCCTCCAGGTAATAGATCTCTTCTTCTGCCCCAAAACCAGTAAGGAAACCCCCTGCTTCCTCGCCTCTTCCACGATCGTCGGTCCTAGATCTTTTCCTTCAACCAAATAGAGCTCAACAACCACCTGAAATGGATAATTCAGAATCATTTTACTTGCTGCCAGTTTACATGCGAGCTGCCATAGCAGAGATTGCTACATAATTTGTATTTTCTATGAAGGTTATAAGGCATTTGTTTTGAAGTACATATGGTGTCGTTGCAAAAGAAAAACAGTAAACATAACCAATAGTAAAAACTGATAATATGCTATTGTCTCCTTCTTATTATAGTTCCTATGCATATTTGATATTCTCCTTAGGTGTACCTTCCGTTTTTATATCAAGCAAAATAATAGAAAAGGATATGATCTATACTATAGTCTAAATGTAGATAATAAAGCTGCAAATACTAGTAAAGGTAAATAGTGGTAGTGGAGTGTGTGTTCTACAATGAGGAATATGGTTGTGGCGTCGGTGTTTATCAGCATTCTAGTTATAAGAGCATTAAATATTTTTTTGCAAGCAACAAAATGAGCCATCTTGAAAAAATGATCTACAACTACTATGATTGAATCAACCCCCTTTTTGGTGCATGCCAGTTCTAGCACAAAATCCAAACTGAAATCTTCCCAAATTGGGGCCAAAAGAATCGTTGTTGAAGTATGTACAACCCCATGTTTTGACTGTTTCCTTTCTACATTTGGCAAATGGGACGTCTATTCACAAACCTTGTAATATCTCATCTAAGTTGGGGCCAAAAGAATCGTTGTTGAAGTTGCTCCAGTGTTTTTTCACGTCCTAAATGGGTAGCTAGACCACCACCGTGTAATTCCTTGTGTAGTTGTTGACGCCAAGAAGATGCAGGAATACATAGTGAATTACCTTTGAATAAAAATTCATGCCTGAGTGTGATTCACCATATAGTCAGGCCTTCCGAACACCTTTGTCATGGTCCCATGAAGTCTTTATCTGTGTCAACAACTGCTTGGAACCATTGTCAATCAGTAGGTCACTCACTTTGTCATTAATGGTACATCGCGTTCTGAATATAGCATTTTGCTGAGAATAAACTGGTTGTTTAGATGCTAACAGCAGCTTTTGAAGCACTTCCTCTCCAAGTCTTCTGGTTCAGCAACAACCTCGTTGTCTTGGGAATCTCCTTCCAACAGTTGTAATTAATGTCAATTCATGCATTTGTTTGACTTGTGGCTTGGCTGAAAACATCTAAAACATTTAAGGTTGGATGGCTTAGCATGTGGATTGTCCTTCATTGGTGCCTTTGTTCAATTTCGGAATTTGTTTTCAGGGTTCTGGTTGTTGGCGGTAATTGTTGCAGGTGCATTTTGAATAGCTTATGTCGTAATTTGAGCTGGTGTTTTATTACTGTCTATTGAATACTCCCTGTGACTTCGACGGGTAAGGCTGTGAGAGTGTCTTTGAGCTTTAATTTCGCCTTCAAAGCAAAATTTACATCTTGTGATAGTGACCGAATAGAACTTAACTCGAGTTTGTCTTGGATGACATCCTTCAAACCTCCAATATAACAGGCTACCATTTGGTGTTCAGATTCATTTAAATTGTTGCGGGCATTAAGTTTGTAAAACTCTTTTGTATAATAACTAATACTTTTATTCCCTTGAGTGCAATGCTGATATCGTAAGTGCGACATCTATTTGAAATCCATTTGAAGAAAGTGCCTCTGCAGCATTTGTTTCATTCGGTACCAGCTGATGATGGGATTGTAGTACTTGCTGCCACCAAGCACACGCTCCTCCTTTCAATCTGCACATATTCAAAAAATGTTTCAACATCTCTTTCCCAATCGAGATAATCTTCAATGTAGAGTCACCCATCAAAGAATGGAATATCAAGTTTTACACAGAATTCTCCCTAGTGTTGTGACTGTCCCCTGAGTCTCCATTGGGAGTCATAATAATGCGGCTAATCCCTGTCTGTTGAGTCTAATACTTATACACGTTGTTGTAAGTCACCTTCTTCCTCCTCTGAATTAGAGATTTCTAGATAGGGTGTTGCAGGTCGCCTAAAGTTTCGCTCCCTAAGGTTAAGTGTCCATAGAGCTGGTGTGGTTGCCGGCATAACCAGTTGTGGGTTACTGTTGATGGTCTTGACTTGATTAAGTTCTTATCATATTTTAGCAGAGAACCTGAAAAAATTCTACAGCAAGTCCTTCAATTTGTTGTGTAAGATTGGCTTGTGCTGCCCACAAAGCCTCTAGACTCCAATCGCCGTTAGGAGCCAGCTGCCTACTGGTTTCTACCATTTTCCCCAGCAACAAAGCTCTGATACCAATACGGCGTGGTAGCAAAAGAAAAATAGCAAGAACAAATAAAACCAGTAAGCATAACCAAGAGTAAAAACTGATAATATGTTATCGTCTCCTTCCTATTGCAATTTCTATGTATACTTTGTATTCTTCCTAGGAGTATCTTCCATTTCTATATGAGGCAAAACAATAGAAAATGATATGATCTCTACTATAGTCAAAATTTAGATAATAAAGCTGCAAATAGTAGTAGAGGTAAATAGTAGTAGTGGAGTGTATGTTTTGTAATGAGGAATGTGGATGTGATGACCCACATCAACATGATAATGCTTTTGCTTAGTAAAGGAAATTATTTATAATAAAATAAATTATTATCTTGCAAAAAAAAAGAATAAATGCTTTATAAAACTCGGTGGGGTTGGGGGTGCCCTTACCCTCCTTAGTTTGAGATAAAGTCTTATTGTTATGGTTAATATTAAAGCTTCAACTTGAATTTTTTTTTAATAGTTATGTATTTATGAAAAAGGCTTGATAAGAAAGTATTAGAAATGGTTTTTTTTATTATATTTAAATGAGAATTTAACCTTTAATAGGACACAATGAAGAAAACATATTCATATAGCCGACCCCACGTAGTAGAATAAAGATTTGTTGTTGTTGTTATATTTGGGTAAATCTTTATACTCCTTATTTTAAAGTATGATTTAGCCGGTGCTTACGGGCATAAAATTGACATATTCTAAGCACATGTGATTAGTAAAACATAAGAGATCGGTATACAAAGACAGTGTGTCAATATATAGATATTTTTTAAATAAGGTGGAGCTCAATTTCTTCATTCAAGTTTTTTCTTTCAAAGTCAAGGGTAAGATAAGGATGAAGTTTGGGAAAGATATGGAGTCAAGAATAGCTGTCATTTGTTTATTTTATGAGTGGCCTATAGGTACATCGATAAAGAGAAGAAGACAGGAGTCGAATGACTTGTCTGAGAATATATATATATATATATATATATAAATATATAAAAGATTTGACTTTATACTTAGGTTTTAATTTATTGAGTTCATGGACAAATCAAAGAGAGAGAGAGAGAGAGAAGATGAAAGGGATAGAAATTAGTAAGATAAACTAAGATAGGAAAAATGTTTGAGTGAAGAAATTTTTTATATCCTTATCCTTACCAATCTATAGACAAGTAGAAACTCTCACTTAATGTGGCCATGAATCCTTGTCTTAATTTCGAATGTTTTCTTTATAGGTCATATTTCTCATACTTATTGCTCTTCATTGCCCTTATGGAATTTTTCTTCAATACTTATGCAAGTATGAGAACTAGGCTTTAAGTTTCTAAGAGAAAAATGGGAATAATTATAACCTTAGTCATCTTTGAATTAGGTTGAAGCTTTGTATTGTGAATCATATTCCCAGCTTTAAGAGGTACGTAATCTTAATTGGGCAACTAAGTGAAGAAGGCTGCATCACTATATTTGTTTATATTTGGAAGATGACCAAAACTTTTATGGTGATAGCATGCGTAAGTAAAGTGAAACTTTTTACATTACATCAAATATTAGAGCAATAGGAGCAACTGTAAATATAAATGTTGATTAAACTAAAGGAGTAATGTAGTATAAATACTTTTTTAAGCACGAACTGATAAGGTAAAGGTAGGAATCGTTAAACAAATGAAATTTCAATATCAGGAAGAACAGCTGAGTTATGGGCCAAGGTCATCATCTAATGCATAGAATGTTAGCTAAAATGTTCCTTAGGGATAATTGATTCAATTTGTTTCCTATTTCTAGAAAGTTCTAGGGATTTCTATTGGATTATTATAAATAGAATGGTTGTATGAGGTAGATAATGAATAATATTTTTGGAATTAATAGCATTTAGCTATTTTGCTCTTAGAGTTGTTAGTATTACTTTCTTTGATGATTTCTCTCTACATCAGTTGGTATTAGAGCCACGTCAACCCTTGACGACGATCGGGACTTGGGATGCTTTGAGGAAACAATGGATGAAGTTGGGATGTCGACGATGTTCGAAGCCTCCACCAGTTGGCAACCATATTGGCAATTCTACACATCCACCGCTAGCAACCATACCAGCAAATAAATCTTCTGACAACCATACCAGAATGAATCGATTGATGACAATCATAGCATCGGACATCTTCCAGTGACACTCGCCTTCGATCCATCTCTATCTTGCGACCCTGTACAGCCCGCTCGCGATCTGCGAGCCTGCACCCATCTTCGACCTACTCCGTTCCCACGCGTGACCGGCTCCAAAGCCTATTTTCCTCTTTGAACCAAGTCTACCCGAACACAGCCATCCCACATGCACTTGTCACGCTCCGATTATCTGCCCTAGCCTGCTTGATGCCCTTCCGCTGCCAATTCAAACCTCACTGCACTTCTGGAGAAAGTCAGATACCCATATCTAAACTCTCTCAGCAGCACCAACCACGCACTCCGACTCTGCTCGACCAACCCATCTACTGTCTCGCATGAATCCGACCCCTCCACGAGACCTTCATTCCACTTGACCAACCACACTCCCACTTCACGCGATTCCGATTCTGATTCCTCTCTTGCTCCAGCACTTCCGCTTTGACGTATCCCCCAACTCCGCCCCGTACTCTATTTTCTTTGTATGGGAGGAGAATGATGCAAAGCATCTTAGTTAAATGATCCTTAGGGATAGCTGATTTAGTTTGTTACCTATTCCTAGAAAGTTCCAGGGATTTCTATTGGATTATTATAAATAGAATGGTTGTATGAGGTAGATAATGAATGATATTTTTGGAATTAATAGCATTTGGTTGTTTTGCTCTTATGAGCTGTTGGTATCACCTTCTTCGATGATTTTTCTCTACATCACCATCAAGTTGCCAAAGCTATCGTTGAGAGACTATGGCGACATCTCTTCGCAGGGGCTTATACACTAAGAAGTTGAGACAAGGAAATTCTCTTCTAAGAAAAGCATCAAGAGGAAACTTTACAATACATTGTAGGACTCATAGCCCGAGGCGAATTTGAGAGACCTAACTTGTAGCAGCTACACGATTTGACCCTACAAGGTAACTTAGAAGCTCGCTTATAGTCCGGTGGTTGATAAATTATCACATCACTAGGAAAATGTAAAGAAAATTTATATGAATCTATTCCCTCCTGGGAAACTAGTTGATCTAGTTATCTCCCGTGGCTACCTCCTGCTCAACTTACTTTGTTGGAGGAATCATATAAGTCATCAGATCATCCTGTACAAAAGGGAAGTTTCTTTTATAATAATACATTTTGAATTCACTCACTAAATTATTTTATGTAAATTAACATTTAGCTTGGCAGGGGAAACCGTTGTTCAATTAGCAAAGCCATCGACTTAATTGGGGGTCCATTCATGGGAACTGTAGGGTCATGAGCATAAGCTATTTCATCCATTGCAACCTCTTGAGAAACTACTACTTCAAGATTTTCTATTACTTGCTTCACCTTCTGCCAATCTCACCTTTTTTATTGGCGAATTACCAGTTTTTGCCTTTCTTCTCATCCATCTAATCACTTCGGTTTAATATATATATATATATATATATAGGAAGCTCTTCAAATACTCTAGAGAATCAAGAATTTAAATCTACATCCAAATATCTTAAAGACGTGGCTCAATCGAAGATGGCCCAACTCAAGGCAACTCTATATTAAGAATTGGGACAAAAAAACTAGCCAAGATCATAATGAATTTGTCGAAAGCACGGTGAACTTGCCAAACTTATAATGAACTCATAAGATCATATATAGCTCAACGCTTATCCTAGCATAATTCTCCAAGCTCTTAAGGATACTCGCCCAACCACAAAGTCTACTCAGTGGCAACTCGTTCAAATAAGCTCGGGGCTTCATTAGTTCATCCGACTAGATCATGCAAGTCTACGACTTCAACATCAAGCTGTCAATTTCAATCAATAATATACTCAGTTAATTGTCCACATGTACTTTTATATAAATTAGGCTATGCACCTCATGTATTTTCTTATTTTATATACAACTTAAAAGTAATTTTTCCTATAACGCTCAAACCTTGGTGATGTGGAACATATTAGTTAAAGCATTTCTTTGGATTAGCTTATCTTAGTTTGTTACAAGTTGTTACATGTTTCTATAATCTTCTAGGTGTCTCTAGTTTTCTACTTGCTTATTATATATAGATTGTGCAATAGGAAGGAGGGATGGAATGATATATTAACCTCTTTGAAGCTTTAAGCTTGAGTTTATCATTGTTCTCTAGAGTGGGATTAAAATCCTTCAAGCGTCATCATCTTCCAACGATCCAACCCACATCAGTTGGTATCAGAGCCTGGAGCTTATGAAGATCGATGGGCTGCAGAAGAAGGTGGACTGTCAACGACGATAGAAGCCGAAGAATAAGAATGGAGGTTGACGATGATCGAAGACGAGGAAAATGGACTGGCGACGATGATCCAAGCCGTATTGCCTTCTATCAAGCTCAAGTGAAGGCATCACTTGATCGAGTAGACAAAAACCTTAATCGGATAGACAAAAACCTTCGATTCATAAGGAGAATGTGAATGTCGTCGTCAACCATACCGGCATCTTCATCTTCGCTCCTCTCATCCGCTTCACGTGAACCACACCAGTTCAGAAATAAACTCGCCGTGGATGACTACTACCCTCTGCTCGAGCTTCCTCTCTGGTGGCGCGATCTCCGTTCCAACATCCTTTGCCAGATTCGCAAATTCCGTATGCTTCGTCTCGCAAACAGACCCGCAATCTTGATCCGCTCTAGCTCAATTCCGCTCCAATAGACACATCTCCGGGAGTGGGATACTCATCAAATCCTTCTGTCACCCAAGTCTTCCATCCACCATAACTCTCAAACTCGCATGACGGCATTCCCATACCTGGCATTCAACCCGATCCCACCGCTGCCACTCCGCCATTGCCGCCCGCACCGACAAAGCTCCCACCCCCGCTCCCACTCTGCTCTCGCGATCTCGCTCCAAGTGTTGAGCCTGATCTCTCACAAGACAATTCCAGTTCTTCATCCCACAATCCGTCTGTCATTGACGAGGGAGAGCGATTCGTCACAGCTTGTTCCTATTCCGACACCGCGATCGGCACTCGCCCAGTCACATTCCGCTCCGGCAATCACTTGAAGCAGGTGTCATCAGAGGAGATTGAGGATGCTCATAAAGAGGAGTGGAATGCTCCAAAACCACGACACGCATCTCTTCTGAAGGGCGCTTTGAATTCCGAAATTCCAAATGAGTAGAAGTCTGAGCTCTTGGCTTCGTTGGTGCCACATGATGGGAAACCCTGTATTTCATCAGCAAGTATTATTGGACACCCTTTGAAGTCAAGTGGATTCATCAATCAGGAGATGTCATAGAATGGAGATGAAGATGAGGGAAAGGATTTTCGGTGGTCGCCAGATCCGAGAGGAACCACTCAGCTTCTGATCCCGCTCCCTCATCATTTTCTTTCATGTTCTAGTCGAATGATAGGTCTCTCTTATCAATCTAAGAAGGGTTATATTGGGATCGAGTATTATGGATGCACGGTTATCATTAAAATACTTCATGTTGGGGTTCACCTGAGGCAGCTTCAATCTATACAAGATCTTCCAGAGACAGAAACTAAAGTTGTTGAACTACTCAACCAGTTTAAGGCCGGACTGTGTTACTTGGACTTGATGACATTGACATATTTAAAGGGAATGACTTAAAGCTTCTCGCAATGGAACAGTTTCTTGTGCAGCAGCCGGAGTGGGTTTCTGCCTCCATTATTACAATGCTCACTCTTTGGGACAGGCATGAGTTCCTTAGCTAGAGAAAGCATTGTAAGAGTTGTTGTCAACACTCTCCATCTCCTTGATCTTAGCCTGCAGGTTTCATTATTTAAGAGGTTTCTTCTTACGGCGAGAAACTTGAGGGCAGAGTCAAACATCAAGCATGCTTTGGGAAGCATTAGTCATGCAGTTATCTATGTAGATTTTTCTTGCAAAGGAAAGTGTGCTTAGTGGTCAGAAACCTCTTCCAGGGATAGTCATTACTTCATTTTTTGAACGTTTAAGAATGTATGATGATATAAACTGTATATCAAGTAAAAGCGTGTTTAGGTGGAACTCATTGCTTCACTTGTGGAAAGCTATTTCCAACTATCTCTGTCACTGCTTGAACATAAAAATTATGGTATTGAGAGCAGAGTTATTGGTGCATTGGCTTATGGAACTGACTATGGCGCACTAAATTGGACAGAATCAGCCTTGGAGGTTGTGGAAGTATGCAGACCTTGTGTTATGTGGGACTGTGATGGGAAAACTTATATTATAGATTGCTATTTGAAGTTGCTTGTTAGACTTTGTTATATATATGATACAATAGGTGGTGCTTCTCACCATCATATTTTGAATGAGACGAGACTATGAAATTTACAGCTACAACTGCTCAAAGATCTTTGTGTAGTTAATACACCAAGGATCTGTACACGTTTGATTTGGTCTATTGCAGAACACTTTGATCTTGAAGGGCTGAATCCACCTCTAGTTGATGATCTAGAAGATCCTCTGAACATCCTTATTTCAAATATGCCAAGGTACTAACAGACTTCAAGATGTCCAGGTTGTCCTACTCTATGTCCAACGTTTAGGATCAAGGAATGCAAGGGCTGGCAACCTTCTGATTTCTACCTATGGAGGAATGCAAATTTGTGGAAGGTCCAAGGTATTCATCATCTAATGAATGAGCTTGCAGACATGCATCGAAGACGCAAAATCTTCGACCTTGGAGGATTGATTATGATGTTCATCTCCCGATGACGCGTCTCGACGGAGTTGAGCTCTTTTCAAGCAAGGGGAGAATGATGTGGAACATATTAGTTAAAGCATTCATTTGGATTAGATTATCTTAGTTTGTTACAAGTTGTTACATGTTTCTAGAATCTTCTATGTGTCTCTAGTTTTCTACTTGCTTATTATATATAGATTATGAAATAGAAAGGAGGGATGGAATGATATATTAACCTCTTTGAAGCTTTAAGCTTCAGTTTATCCTTGTTCCCTAGAGTGGGATTAAAATCCTTCGAGCGTCATCATCTTCCAACGATCCAACCCACATCACTTGGCCTGAACATATAAAAAGGTGGTTCGTGGCAAGATTTGGACACAAATTTGGATATTCAAGTCTACAACTCTATCATCAAGTAAAATCCAAGAGCCTCTCTTTAGATTCACTATAACTCCTTTTCTCTCTACTTTCTATTTTATTTTTACCTCGTGAATCTTGCTAGTAAAGTTCTGATATTTCCCATGGACAATAACACTGAAATTGTACAAATCTTAGTGTATAAAAATATAATTTCTCCATGTACTCTCTCCTAAGCTAAAATTTCCCCCTCAACAATCGTTCATTTGTGATTATTTTCTAAATATAAACCAGTAGCTAGTAAATATTACCTCTGGTCTCTTAGATTGGCAAATGGTCTTCATGCTCTGTAGAACCTCATAACTCTTTGGATCTCTCTCCCATGGAGACTGATCTCCTCCTACCTTATACCAAAATCAACATTAATGGTCATAAATCAAACAAAAATTAAAATCTAAGGGCTTAATCTAAATTTCATAAAAATAAATTTAATAACATCATTTTTTTAAATGTGTGTAACATAAATTTTAACTAATTAGTTCTATATTATACTCCTCTCAAAATAAATCTAACAGCTACAAAACTCATTTTGATCAAAACTTTTTTCCTCTTTTGGTTACTTGTAAATGGATTAAAGAGTGAAATAATCAAATTTCAAAAAAAGTTTGATGATATTTTACATTTTAAAACAAGTGATGGTTTTTTAACTGTATAAAATAAATTTATTATTTTTAAAGTATTTTCAAACTTCAGATATTAAAATAGTTCTTAAAAAATCTCACCTTGCTTCGATGCAGGCTTTGAAACCTTTAGCAGAACAAGACAGTCATTACTCTGCAAAGCATGAGACAGAGCCCAAAGCAGAGCACTCTTCGCCTCCGTGCTCGAGTCCACCGCCACCATGACTCGCCGCCTTTCCGCCGTGACCTCACTGCCGCCATCAACCTTCTCAGCATCAGCAGCGACCGCCGGAACGGGGTTGGAGCCCACCGGCGGTGAACGGACTCTGACCCGAGTCGCCACGCGGCTGAGGCAGAAGCTCGGAAGCTTGGAGCTAGCCCGACCCATGATCTCAAACAAGTCTGAATAGAAGAAGAAGAAGAAGCCAGTGAGCGAAGAAAAGCTGAAAAGGAAGGAGACAAGAACTGGGCAGTAGTAGCTACTCTGTTACCTTTTTCTGTGCTCAGGGTCCTTTTTAGTTGTCCGTTGCCGGAGAAATTATTTGCTGAATTAAAGCTGATTTGGTAGAAGATTTAAGATTTTTATTATTATTTTTTTTTTTTTGGAAAAATTAGGGGCCTAAGCCCATATATTACCAAAAGAGGAAGATTACAAGTAAAAGAGATAATGTGTAAAAACTATCCATCATAAGTAAAACAAAACACTTATGAAGGTTAAAAGAAAGAAACCCCAACTATACCACCCATACAAACAAAAGACTATTGAAAAACCAAAATTGTGGTACGTGAAACTAAAATGAAACTTGAAGAAAAGCAGCAGCAAATCAAACTGTCAAAATGGGAAACCCATCGCCAGAGAAATCTCCAACCCAAGGAGAGGGGGAGGAGAAAAAACGGTTGACTCAGGCAATATGGAACCAGCCAGGACAAGGAAATCAAAGCCAAAAGCTCATTTGTCCCAACACCGGCAGCAAAAGGTTGCCCCGGTTGCCAAAAGGGCCCAGCACGCCAGGTGAACAGGTTGCAAAAATTACATGCCATACGAATGAGTAGACCCGCAAGGGCTGGAGCTTGCTGGAGCCGAAGGCCATCCAAGGGGCAACAGGCCAGTTCCAGTCATCATCATCCCAAAAAATTCAGAGCACCACCAGCAAAAAAACAAGTAGGGAACGCAGTTTGAATCAGGTCCAGGTTTTTCCAATTCGAAGTTTTGCATGAAATTACCAAAGCAATCTTTTTGCACAGTTCATGCAAAGGAAGATGAGATCCCGTAAATCTTCGGTCGTTCCTTTTCCTCCATATGAAATAAATGACACAGCAAATGACAAAATAGCAGAAGTTCTTTTCCACAGCAGTAAGGGTGATAATCTCTTCCACAAACTCAAAAAGTTGCAGTATTGTAGGTCTCAGCAAAAAGCAGTTCAAAACCGGTAGGAGATGAGTAATAACAGCATAGGAATAATCACAAGAGAAAACTAAATGAGCACCGCTTTCATCACCACATTGGCAAAGGGGACAGATTGGGTGAATGAAAATGTTTCTTTTGGCTAAAACGTCAGCTGTTTTTAGACAATTCCGAATCAAAAGCCAAGCATAAGAAGAATGCCTAAGAGCAGCCCTCTTATGCCAAATAAATTTATGCCATGCTTGAGTTTGCCAGCCAACAAAAAAGTTCATCCTAAAAGTCTTAAAACACGGTTTTTCTTGATTTTTCCAGAGTAAAGGGACAGCAGTAGCCGAAAGAGGAATAGCATGAATAATTTGTTGCACCCAGGAAGGGAAGCAGTTCGGTAAACACCAAGTTCCCCCAGTAATGTAGTTGTTGGCTTTATCAGATAATTCAGGAAACGGAGAAATAAAATCAGAAAGCATTTTCCCATCAATCCAAGGGTCCCAAAAGAATGAAAATTTGCAACCTTCAGCCATAACCACAAAACGAAACTCATTCTTAACCTTACCAGCAACAGCATGAATAAATTTCCAGAAATTGGAGCATTTAGGGGGGGTTTGCTTCCAAGGTGAAAGATATTTGGTCTTAAACCAGTCAAAGACCAGAGAGTTAGAATTATACCATCTCCAAATAAAAGAGCAGCCAAAATCGTGTGCTAAAGATTTTAAATTCGGTATCCCGAGACCGCCAAGGCAAGTTGGCAAGCAAGTTTTATGCCAAGCTACCAGATGTAGCTTATTCCCTTCAGTGGTGCCATGGTAAAGGAACCTAGAGCAAAGCTTCTCAATGAATTTTGAGCAAGATTTAGGTATAATCGAATCTCTTATCCAGTATGCCAATGTATTTGCAATAGTAAATTTTAAGAATTGGATACGACCTGCAAAAGAAAGAAATTTCTACTCTACTTGATGGTTGGAAAGTAAGATTTTTATTAAGATTCTATCAAAATTATTTTGTGATATGAATTCGTATATATTTCCTTATATATTATTTTGTAATGAGAATTTCTTTTTTGCAAAATAATATTTTTGGAGAATTAAGAATTTGTCATAAAAATATATACTTATTTCAGTTATTTGTACATCTAATAATTATCATAAAAACAAAATATTGAACTATAAATTTATAAATATTAAGTTCAAAAGATTTAAATTTGATATAAATAAAAAAATATAAATGATAAAAATTGTTTTGTGATTACTTTGAAATTTTTACATATTGCATGTTTTTTCACTAAAATAGGAGGCGTGTTTAATAAAAAAATTATTTGTGTACATTAAATGAATTTATTATAAATCTTAAAATCAAATTTTAAATATTAAATTTAATTTAATTAAAAGTTATTGATATATCAAAATAAGATAGATAAAATATTGTTTATTTTAAATATATGAGTATAATAAGTAATATATATATATATATATATAGGTTAAAGTTTATGTATTTTGTATATTTTATTAAAAATTTAATTTATTTTATAATAATACATAGATATTAGTATATAGAGATATAATACACAAATTTATTAAGAATGCATTAGCTTTTATAGTGTGCATTATTTTACTATTTTTTATTATTATATATAACATGCTATAAAAATTTAGAGAGAGAGAGAGACTTTAAGCTTTTTTGCTCTTGTGCTTCTTTTGCAGTACTGATTAGAGGGGGTGGGGGTTGATTTTGTTCGAAAGCCAGAGAGAGAGAGAGCCGCTTGCAATGATGAGAGCCATTGCATCAAGAACATGACATATGATGCGGCTGTTGAGCTGTGAAACATTTCTTTTTAATGCCATGATGAATGGTTAGGATCGAGTTTGTGAGTATGATTTTCAAAGAGACTTCACATATCTAAATTTAGAATCCAAAAGATCTTGATTTTTAGTCAAAGCTCCATCCAAAAAGAAAATTATTCTGAGGAGTTTGGACTGAGAAAATTATTATGTGTGGAGTTTGGATTGAAAGAACCGTCTGAACATGTGAGTGTGTATATTGTGTACACGGTGTATTAAATTTTTGTACACACTATTTATACACAGTGTGTACACTCAAAATTCGGATTGTTCGTCTCATCTCATCCGGATTCCGCACAGAATAACTTCTCCCAACCAACAAGTCAAGGTGAGCTGCATAGTTTGTAAGACATTGTCGAACTGTTAATGACACATAATTATGGGTGAGCTGATTATGATCTTATTTTCTTTGTTTATGTGTGTTGATACAATTTGAATATGTGTTAAACGGCTAATTCTTGAATATCGTCATCTCCATAAATTACATTAATGGGAAAAGGAGGGTTCATTATATTCAAAGGTTGTTGTTGAGTGTCGGTAAAGACTTTTAAGAACATAGGTAGCTATCTAATGTGATTATTATAATCAAAATTATCCATTGGAAGTACTATAATTAGCATTAACTACTAACTCACATAATCTATTATAAATTTGTGCAATTTCTCATCCATTCAAAATTGGCTTTGTCTTCAAGGTTAAAATATGAAGCAGAAAATTAAGAATAAATCCAAGCCATGCAGGATCTCTGGTACTAAAATTATAGGTGGTGGGCAATTGTCTTGAAAATTGTTAGAAGTAATGTGCGCAACGATCATTCAATATGCATTAGCTTAGTTGATTTATTTTATGCAAGTGTTCATGTGTGATTGAAGTCGTCTTCACCATGTTAAGAATATTTTATAGAGAAAGAGAGAAAGGGAGGGGGAGACTAAAATCAAGTATGGAGCTCTTGAAGTGGTAGAGAAGACATGGCAGAGGTGCATTTGAATCCTATTGGACATGCATTATTAATTTTTTGCAATTAATATTCTCGTAGAGACTAGAGGACCCATTTTAAGGATCCATAGCATGCATATTGACTCTCACAAAAATGCGATGCTAAAGAATTTCATCAGTCACAGGTGGGGAAGTTTGTTTTTTTTTTAAGTCCCAAAAAAAACTGCAAATAAAAAACATAGTTTAAACAACACACAAACTAAACAACCCCAAAAAGGGAAACAAAAGAGCAAGAGCGGACTCAGGCCGCCACCTGGTTGCCAAGCTTGGGTCGTCCAATCGTCAGCAAGGTTGCATCCAAGCCCAGGCCATCCGAGGGGCCTCATCATAGTCCTCCATTAGCCAAACCAAGCCAAACCGAAAGCAAAACCAAGAAAAAATCATTTCTTATTGGAATTCCGCTTTTTACGTTTTCCACTCTTTTTGCTAAAACCCTCGTCACCAATTTGAATGATACTCAAGTCGTAATTTCCCCGCGAATCAAGATCCTCCCCAAAGAAACTTCCAGCATCATCTGAATTGTTATCAAGTATCCGCTCACCATGCAACACCACACTATCCCTAGAAAGGTGATATTGCAAAAGTTCCCTAGAGACAATAGTTATATTTATCAGATGGTGTTGAAGCTATATTAGGGAATAAACTTGTTTATATTTATCATTAAAAAATTATTTTCATATTAGGCAATTTAATTCATCCCACGTGATATCATGAGGAGTGTCCATGAGGTGACATCGGGTCACGTTCACTTTGCATGGGTATCAAAAATTGGTTGCGGGTCGAATCCGACAATGACCCAGAGTTGTTCGACCCGACCTATTTTTATAAACGGGTCAGATTTTATAGTCTTTACCTGACCAGCCAAAAAATCAGGTCAACACAACCCAACACTGATGACTCTGGGCCAGTCAGAAATCAAATGTGAAGACTCGAAGTGTCAAACGTGGAATCGTGGCGGGTGGGATGTGGTGCAGGGTGCGATCGAACCGGACGTGGTGTGTTGTTACCAGGCGCTATTAGGGATTGCTGCACAGTGGTTGGAATCATCGTGGGTGTATCGCAGGCACCGGATGGTGATATCGGACTCAACGCTGTGTTCGATTAAGGTTTGCTAGAGGTCGGTGGGAACAGTAAACCGACCTGGTGCGAAAGTTCGAGCACGCACGAGCGAAGCAAGGTCAAGCATGCCAAGTGATGCAGGTCAAGCATCGTTGAACACGAGATTAGGGCTTGGAAGTGTCAGGCAATGCATGCAAAGCAGGGTTGAGCGTGTGATGTCGTGTTGATTCCGGATTGATGTTGGGTTTTTGGGTT